GGGAGCGCCGGCAACCAGCGAAATTTCGCCGTTGGTGGTGACTTGTCGGATCCGATTGATCTTCTTCTCGTCGGTCTCGGCGATGTACAGGACGCCGCTGTGCGAGACCGCCACAGCCGTGGCGGACTCCAAAGTGGCATGAATGGCTACCTTGCTCAGAAGGAAGTGGTCGATACCGGGGACTTGACAGTGCATCGGCCGGCCCGCCACGATGCGCACCTGGTGATTTTCAGAGATCTGCAGCACGACGTTATTGTCCAGAACGTAGAGGGAATTGTCCATTGGGTTGACGGCCAGGTCTGTCGGCCACTCCAAACGGACCTTGCAAAACGAAAGGAAGAGAAACGGCTGGTGAGAACATGTACTATTTTTCCATTACTGGTAGTCACCGTTCAGTGCGGAATAGAGTAGAGTAGAGTAGAGTAGAGTAGAGTAGAATAGAATAGAATAGAATAGAATAGAATAGAATAGGGAACAGGGAACAAGAATGGAATGGAATAGAAGACAAGAGAAGAGAAAATAGAATAGAATAGAATAGAATAAGGAATAGAATAGGGAATAGAATAGAATAGGGAATAGAATAGGGAATAGAATAGAATAGAATAGAATAGAATAGGGAACAGGGAACAAGAATGGAATGGAATGGAATAGAAGAGAAGAGAAAATAGAATAGAATAGAACAAGGAATAGAATAGGGAGAAGAGAAGAGAAAATAGACTAGACTAGACTAGACTAGACTAGACTAGACTAGACTAGACTAGAATAGGGAATAGGGAACAGGGATAGGGAACAGGGAACAAGAATAGAATAGAATAGAATAGAATAGAATAGAATAGAATAGAATAGAATATGGAAGGGACCTTGGAGATCTTCTACTCAAGCAGGAGAACCTATACCAGTGATGGCGAACCTTTTAGAGACTGAGTGCCCAAACTGCAACCCAAAACCCACTTATGCATCGTCGGGTGCCAGGTGGGTGTGGCCCATTGTCTGGGCGTGGTCCATTGGGTGGGCGTGGCTGTGGTGGTAACAGCAGACTGGGTGGGACTAAAAAGTTCAATCAATCAATTCCAACTTTGCAAGATCTTTTTTTTTTCCTGCGAAAAGCTGAAATTGACTGATTGATTGAACCTTTTTTTTTTTTTTGCACACGGCAGCGGAGGCCTAAAACGAAAAGGTTTTATAAAACCCAGCTGAAGGTCTAGGAGTGGGGCGACGGCATGTGTGCCCACAGAGAGGGCTCTGAGTGCCGCCTCTGGCACCCGTGCCATAGGTTCGCCCCCACTGCCCTATACCATCTAGGTTCTAGACCGGTGATTGTCTAGTCTTTTCTTAAAAATTTCCAGTGTGGGAGCACCCACAACATCTGGAGGCAGCCATTTGTCTGAAATAGTAGAGGTCTCCTGTTTGAGCAGGGGGTTGGACTAGAAGACCTTGGAGGTCCCTTCCAACTCTGTTATCCTGTTACACCTACAAGGGAACATCTGGCGTGTGACCTCAGCCATAGTCTTTTTTCCTGAGCCAACTAGATGAGGATTTCCCCTTTAACCAGCCAATTAAGCCAAAGCCGGGTGATTTACGGATGACGTCTCCTTTGAATCTAGCTCAGTTCCTGGGTCTTTATGAAGATACTTGCCCTGTTTCCTTGGCAACAACACACCACGGCCTTGTCTGGGATAGTTTTCAACTTGAAACTCAAATGCTTTTTGGGAAAAAAAACACGGTTCCTTTTTTCTGTTCGCCTCCATGACATCATCCTATCAAGATATTCCCTTGGGTGGGAGTTTAAATCCAATCAAAGTATGTTCCTGGCCTTCCTTCCTTCCTTCCTTCCTTCCTTCCCTCCTTCCTTCCTAATTTCCTTCCTTCCTTCCTTCCCTCCCTCCTTCCTTCCTAATTTCCTTCCTTCCTTCCCCCCCAATTTCCTTCCTTCCTTCCTTCCTTCCTTCCTTCCTTCCTTCCTTCCTTCCTTCCTTCCCTCCCTCCCTCCCTCCTTCCTTCCTTCCTTCCTTCCTTTCCTTCCGCTTCTGGCTTTGCCACGGCTGTTTTCCAAGAAGTGCAGTCGTTCATTAAACCCCATTAAAGGCAGTCCTCGACCTACAACACTTCACTCAGTGACTGTTTGAAGTGACAATGACATTGGAAAAAAAGTGACTTACGACTGTTTTTCACATTTACGACTGTCGCAGCGTTCCCCCACGGTCACGTGATCAAAATTGGGAGGCTTGGCCCAACTGACTCGTTTTTATGACGGTTTGCGGTGTCCCGGGGGTGTGTGTGTCACGCGATCCCCTTTTGCCACCTTCTGACAAGCAAAGTCAATGGGGGAAAGCCGGATTCGCTTAACGACCGTGTGACTGACTTAACGACTGCAGTGATTCACTTAACAGCTGTGGCAAGAAAGGTCGTAAAATGGGGGGGGGAGGAGAAAACTCACTGAACAAATGGCTCGCTTAGCGACAGAAATTTTGGGCTCGATTGTGGTTGTATAACTTACCTGTGTTCCATTTGAGGCAATTCTACATCTTAGGCAATGGAAAGTGAACGCCCCATAGCCAGGATGTTTCCTTCTTTATTTTTCCAGAGAGAAAACTTAGGAGCCGTTAAAACAGGGGTCCTCAAACTTGGCCATTTTAAGACTTGTGGACTTCAACTCCCAGAATTCCCCAGCCAGCAGGGCTGGCTGGGGAATTCTGGGAGTTCAAGCCCACAAGTCTTAAAGTGGCCAGGTTTGAGGACCCCTGCATTAAAGGCTTTAAAGCAGTGGTTCTCAACCTTTTTAATGCCGCGACCCCCAACCGGTCGTAAGTCGAGGACTACTCAACCGGTCGTAAGTTGAGGACTAAACCGGTCGTAAGTCGAGGACTACCCAACCGGTCGTAAGTCAAGGACTTTCCCTGCCCGGGAGTGCTGCGCATGAGTGGTGCTGCTCCCTGTGCCGGCCGAGGCGTAGCTGGCAAGGGGCAGCGACGGCGCAGGGCGACCACCGGCTGGGCCACCAGCTGGCCCAGCCCAAGGGAGGTAAGGCACCCGCCAGGCCCCACGCGCGTCAGCAACTCTCCCTGCGCCCGCCGGCCTCCCACCTCCCACCCCTGGCCCTCTTTTACTTACATTTTTAGTAGTTGCTCAGCAGGGAGGGGTGGAAGCTTCCAGACAGCTCGCCTTCGCTGCAGACAACGTGCAGCACCGTTTGCAGAATGGGACTTTTGGCGGGCTCAGCAGGGCAGAGACAGCCTGGACAATTCCTATTGGCTTTTGAAAGCCAATAGAATTAGACTCTATTCAAGAGAGTCCATTCTATTGGCTTTCAAAAGCCAATAGAATAAAAGGGAGTAGCACAGCTAAGGAAAAGGGGGAAAAAAATGGCGGACTGCGTTGTTTGGCGACCCCCGTGAAATGGTCGTTCGACCCCAAATGGGGTCGCGACCCACAGGTTGAGAACCGCTACTTTAAAGAGATATACCACAAATTGCTCCTGTCGTGGAAGCCTTAATGGGTCCCAGTGAGTCAGGAATAGCGATGGAAGATAATTATTTGTTGCTCAGGGTGGGACTATGGGGTCCCTGGTGCTCTCTGAGGTTGGGGCTTTTCTTGCAGACGTTTCATTACCAAATAGTGCCCTGATGATGATGCTTCTTGGTTTGGTAATGAAAGCCTGTGAAGTGGGTTAGACTGAGAGAGAATGTCTGATCCAAAATCACCCAGCTGGCTTTCATGGCTAAGATGGAACTAGAATTCACCATCTCCTGGTGATTGGTCCAGGGTCACCCAGTTGGCTATCATGCCTAAGGCAGGACTAGAACTCACCATTTCCTGCTGATTGGGCCAGAATCACCCAGTTGGCTATCATGCCTAAAGGTGGGACTAGAATTCACCACCTCCTGATCATTGGCCCAGAATCACCCAGCTGGCTTTCATGCCGAAGGCAGGACTAGAAGTCATAAACTCCTGGTGATTGGTCCAGAGTCACCCAGTTGGCTATCATGCCTAAGGTGGGACTATAACTCATCATCTCCTGGTGATTGGCCCAAAGTCACCCAGTTGGCTATCATGCCGAAGGCAGGACTAGAAGTCACATTCTCCTGGTGATTGATCCAGAGCAGTGGTTCTCAACCTGTGGGTCGGGACCCCATTTGGGGTCGAATGACCATTTCACGGGGGTCGCCAAACTAGCTGTCCGCCATTTTCCCCCCCTTTTCTTTGGCCACGCCCCTGGCACCCGGTGATGTATAAGTGGTTGGGGGTCACCACAACATGGGGAACTGTATTATGGGGTCGTGGCATTAGAAAGGTTGAGAACCACTGATCCAGAGTCACCCAGTTGGCTATCATGCCTAAAGTGGGACTAGAACTCACCGTCTCCTGGTCGTTGGCTCAAAGCCACCTAGCCGACTTTCATGCCTAAGGCAGGACTTGAATTCATGTCTTTCTATCCCTTTAAGCTTACACCAAACTGGCTCTCATTTATTTAATATTATAATGTTTAAGAAACTAAAACAAAATAATAAAAACAAAATGCAGCTTGACCGTATTCTGTAAGCCTTTTTTTTCTCCTTTCTTTTAACGACCCCGTAATCCTTTGCATCGGGGTGGAGCCTGGCTGACTGAATGGAGCTGAGCATTGACTGGCCGGACGCCCTTCCCGACACCTCTGTGGCGCTCACAGCAAATATTTCCTTTTTTGCGCCCCACGAGAGAAATATCTGCCGCTATCTACGATCGAAATCGCAGCCTCCTGATTTTGGAGGCAAACCGTATTCTGTGACTCCAAAACAGAAATTAAAAAAAAAAAAATCCTGCATCCAAGCTTGCGTCAACCTTTTTCTAGGCAGAATGGAAAAAAAAAAAACCCCGAGTGCGCCGGTGCGGAATTAACAACTGTTTGCTTCAAAGTCTGCAAAGCAAATTGTCCTTTTGCAGCCCTGTCACTTTTATCGAGCTCGTAAATGGCAGGCCGTGGGGTAGCCAAGCAATCTTTTCAAATTAGGGGAAGAAAGAGCAGAGAAGAATAAGGGCCAGGTGGACAAGCAAGAATTATACGGGCGGTTATAAAAGGCCGATTCCCTGTTGGGTTCTATTGTGCCTAAAGAACAGCATTCGAGAGGACCAGCCAATAACCGGTTTTAGCAGAACAAAGAATATTTCCTCGATCTATTTAAATAATAATAATAATAATAATAATGTCAGGCGTATTTGGATTTAGAAGTTACAGCTTCAGAGAGGTATCCCAATGGACATAATGCCTGTCCCCAATTCCTAAACTTTAGGCAGTCTGAGTTATGTCCGCCTGGAAATTCAGTTTCAAAATATAAATATATATGTTTTTAAAAAACAGCCTTCAACAGTGGGAGTTAAAAAACTCAGCGTGACAGCCGTTGCTCAACCCCCTATTTTGCAATCGAATGCAATTCAAAATCCGCCATTTTCCTGCTGTTGATAATTCGGGCAAACCGTTTGCGAGATATTGAATTGAACTTGTACCCCCAAATCCACGGTGTCTTTGACGCAAAGCAAAAGTCTATTCATTGTGAGTCATGAATTGTACCAGTAAGTAACCCCCCCCCCCAAAAAAAACCCATTGTATTGGAACATGTGGTAATATATACTTATAATAAATACACTTTTGGATTTATAGTTCCAAAGTTGCTTTTCCAAGAAACAACTGAACTTTCTTTTTTTTCTTTTTTTCCTTTTTCTTTCTTTTCCTTTCGACACTATTATTCTGTAACTCCTACTATTTACACAGGGGCCAGATTCTAATTTGTAAACCAAGTGTTTACAAATTAATCTTATCTACTGGCTACGTTATTATGGAATATTATCAGCCATTTTAGCTTCTAAAATGATGGAACTAAACTGAATGAATGTAAACTGGTTGTTTATAATACGACCACCCATTTTCTACACAATAATTCTGGGTGGGTCATGTGATCAGCAAGTAAAATATTGAAAATAAAATAGGGCAAAACATCAAACGTTTGCCCTGCAGCATTGTAAGTTCACTATTTCAGCTACAGGTTAGTTCTCGACTCGCAACCCCAAAGTTTCCGTTGCTAAGCTAAGCCGTTGTTAAGTGAGTTTTCCCCCCACTTTATGACCTTTTTTGCCACAGAATCACTGCAGTCATTAAATGAACCATGCGGTCGTTAAATGAATCTGGCATTCTCCCATTGACTTTGCTTGTCAAAAGGGCAAGGACTGGTCATATGTCACTTCTTTCAGTGCTGTTGTTGCGTCAAACGGTCACTAAATGAATGGTTATTACTCAAGGACTAAGTGGAAAGCTATTCTTGTCGAAGGTGTTATGTATTCAACAGAAAATGTTGGCTTAGATGTAACCGGGAAAAGTCCGTGGAACAAGAACAGGTATCCCAGTCCTGAAGAACAGGTTAGATATAGGTAGTCCTTAGTAGTAATAATAATAATAATAATAATAATAATAATAATAATAAAAAAGCACATTGAAGTCAAGAAAAAGATTAGCGGTGAATACATCAAGAGAGTGAAGAAGATCTTAAAGTCCAAACTCAATGGAGGAAATACCATAAAGGCAATCAACACCTGGGCAATTCCAGTCATTAGGTACACAGCTGGAATAGTGGACTGGACTCAAGCAGAACTAAAAGCAATGGATAGGAAGATCAGAAAAATAATGACAATGAATCATGCCCTTTATCCACGCAGTGACATTATCTACCAAAGCAAATAGGTGGGCGTGGACTGCTACAAGTACATCAGATGGTTGAAGAAGAAAAAATGGCTTTGGAAGAATATCTGAAGAACAATGATGAAGATGCACTGAAATTAGTATATCAGGAAGGCTTACTAACTACTGGAGAGACCAAACTGCCTACAAGAAAGACCAAATGAAGAACAGAATAGAGGCATGGGAAGACAAAGCACTACATGGCCAATACGTTAAAAAAATAGCTGGGAAAGCAGATAATAACAAGACCTAGCAATGGCTAAGAGCAGGAAAATTGAAGAAAGAGACCGAGGGATTAATTCTGGCTGCACAAGACCAAGCCTTAAGGACAAATGCATATAAAGTCAAAATTGAGAAGACAGCAACAGACAGTAAGTGCCGCCTATGCAAAGAAGCTGAAGAAACAGTGGACCACCTGGTAAGCTGTTGCAAGAAGATTGCACAGACGGACTACAAGCAGCGGCATGACAAAGTAGCAACAATGGTGCATTGGAAGATCTGCCAAAAATATCATTTGCCTATAAGCAAAAACTGGTGGGATCATAAAATAGAGAAAGTCATAGAAAATGATAAAATTAAACTGCTCTGGGACTTCAGAATTCAAACAGACAGGCACCTGCAACATAACACCCCAGACCTAACAATTGTCGATAAGAAAGACAAAAAAGTCTGGATAGTGGACGTGGCAGTGCCTGGAGATAGCAGAATAGAAGAGAAAGAACTGGAGAAGATAACAAAATACAAAGACCTACAAATAGAAATAGAAAGACTGTGGCAAAAGCAAGCAAGGGTAGTACCAATAGTCATAGGCTCCTTGGGTGCAATTCCAAAACAAATGGAGCACCACTTGAACACCATTGGCATTGACAAATTTGCTATTAGTCAATTGCAAAAGGCGGCCTTATTAGGAACTGCTTCCATCCTGCGACGATACCTGTAATACCATCAAACATCTACATCTGCCTATCCCAGGTCCTGGATAAGGACTCGATAGGTAGACAAAATGCCAAATCCAGTCTGAACATTCGCTGACTGTGCGATGATCCATAATAATAATAAAGTTGGAAGGGACCTTGGAGGTCATCTAGTCCAACCCCCTGCTCAGGCAGGAACCCTTATACCATTTCAGACAAATGGCTGTCTAGTCTCTTCTTAAAAACTTCCAGTGTTGGAGCATTCACCGCTTCTGGAGGCAGGTTGTTCCACTGGTTAATTGTTCTCACTGTCAGGAAGTTTCTCCTTAGTTCTAGGTTGCTTCTCTCTTTGGTTAGTTTCCATCCGTTGTTTCTTGTCCTGCCTTCAGTTGCTTTGGAGAATAGCTTGACTCTCTCTTCTTTGTGGCAGCCCCTGAGATACTGGAACGTTGCTATCATGTCCCCCCTGGTCCTTCTCTTCATTAAACTAGACATACCCAATTCCAGCAACCGTTCCTTATATGTTTTAGCCTCCAGTCCCCTGATCATCTTTGTTGCTCTTCTCTGCGCTCTTTCCAGAGTCTCGATATCTTTTTTATATCGTGGTGACCAAAACTGGATGCAGTATTCCAAGTGTGGTCTTACCAAGTCATTGTAAAGTGGTATTAAGACTTCACGTGATCTTTATTCTATCCCTCTTTTAATGCAGCCTAGCACTATGTTGGCCTTTTTGGCAGCTGCAGCACACGGCTGGCTCATATTTAAGTGATTGTCCACTAGGACTCCGAGGTCCCTCTCACAGTTACTACTATTGAGCAAGGTACCCCCTATACCAGGGGTAGGCAACCCAAAACATTCAAAGAGCCACTTGGACCCGTTTCCCACCAAAAACAAAACACCGGGAGCCACAAAACCCTTTTGATATCTAAAATGAAGATAACACTGCATATATCCTTTTTTACCTTTATTATAGGTGTGTGTGTGTGTGTATGTATGTATATGTGTATATATATATGTATGTATGTATATATGTATGTATGTGTGTATATGTATGTGTGTATATATATATATATATATATATATACACACACACACACACACACACACACATACACACACACACACACACACACACACACACACACACACACATTAAAAATAAAAGTAAAATATGACTCTTGGGAATATCCATACTATTAAAACAATGATCACCAAGAGAATGCTTTAAGAGAATAAAATTACATACACACAAAGGTAAAAAAAAGATATATGCAGTGTTATCTTCATTTTAGATGTCAAAAGGGTCTCTCTCTCTCTTTGTCTCTCTCCCTCCCTCCCTCTCTATCTGCCCTTGGTCTGCCACTCCTCTTCTTTCTCTCTCTCTCTTTCCTCTCTCTCTCTCTCTCTCCCTCCCTCTCTCTCCCTCCCTCTCTCTCTCTCTTTCTCCCCCCCCCCCATCTGCTGCTCACCTGGCAAGCTTCAAGCTGTTGTCCAACAAGCTCAGGGGTAGAAAACCTCCTCTCTTTTATGACTCATGGACTTCAACTCCCAGAATTCCTGAGTCAGCCTAGCTGGGCTAGCTAGCTCTCTCCTGCCCTTCCTGCTTCCTGCAGAGAGCAGCAAAGGGAGGAGCTCCACCCACTAAGCTTCTCAGCTCCTCGGAGAACACTGTGAGTGCACTCTCTTTTACACACACACACACACACACACACACACACAGAGAGAGAGAGAGAGGGAGAGAGAGAGAGAGAGAGAGAGAGAGAGAAGGAAGCAGGGAAGCGCAATTGCCTCTCTCTGTCTCTCTCTGCAAAGTCAGAGGAGGCTGGGAGCCACAGGGGAAGGCTCAAAGAGCCGCATGCGGCTCCGGAGCCGCAGGTTGCCGACCTGTGCCCTACACTATACCTGAGCATTTGGTTTTTCTTGCCTAAATGTAGAACCTTGCTTTTTTTAACCATTGTACAACAGTTTGTTTAGTGACCATTCAAAGTTACAACAGCACTGGAAAAAAGTGACTTACGACTGTTTTCCACACTTACGATTGTTGCAAAATCTCCCTGGTTGCATGATCAAAATTCAGATGCTTGGCAACTGACTCGTGTTTATGACAGCTGCAGTGTCTCGGGGTCATGTGATCCACCTTTTGTGACCTTCTGACCAGCAAAGTCAATGGGGGGAGCCAGATTCACTTAACGACCGTGTGGCTAATTTAACAACTGCAGTGATTCACTGAACAACCGTGGCAGGAAATCTCGTAAAATGGGGCAAAATTCATTTAACAAATGTCTCGCTTAGCAACGGAAATTTTGGGCTCAATTGTGGTCGTACGTTGAGGACCGCCTGTAATGCCAAGAATCAAGAGGGAAAAAAAATCATAGTATTGAAAGATTTATGCAGAGAAAGTTGATAATGCAGCTTAAAAGGAGAGCTACCAAACAGAAGAAAATAGAATTTACTGGTTAAGAGGCATTTCCACTATGAGAAGGAACACAAAAGGGAAAAAGACGATACGGAGGCAGAAAAAAAAAATCTATACACGAGACACATGTACCTACCTGAGAGATATCCATGACAGAATCACAGCTCAGAGGCCTAGTGGATGTCAGGTCATTAGAACCCAGGACCGTTGAGATGATTCCGTTTTGGTCAACGCGTCGGATCATTGTACCATCCACAAAATAAATAAATCCAAATTTGTCCACTGTGATGCCTGTGAAAAAAAAACAAATTTAGTAGGACTTCTCTCCTTGATTAGTTTCCATCCGTTGCTTCTTGTCCTGCCTTTAGGTACTTTGGAGAACAGGTTGACCCCCCCCCCTCTTCTTTGTGGCAGCTGCTCAATTACTGGAAGACTGCTATCACGTCAACCCTAGTCCTTCTTGCCACTAGACATACCCAATTCTTGCAACCATTGTTTACATGTTTTAGCGTCCAGTCCCCTGATCATCTTTGTTGCTCTTCTCTGCACTCTTTCTAGAGTCTCAACATCTTTTTTACATTGTGGTGACCAAAACTGGATGCAGTATTCCATGTCTGGCCTTACCAAGGCCTTGTAAAGTGGTATTAATACTTCACATGATCTTGATTCTATCCCTCTGTTAATGCAGCCAAGCACTGTGTTCGCTTTTTTGGCAGCTGCAGCACACGGCTGGCTCATATTTAGGTGATTGTCCACTAGGACTTACTATTACTGAGCCAGGTACCACCTATACCAGGGTTAGGACTTTAATTGACCAGGGGTATGGAAATTCATTAGGGACTTTTTTTTGTAGGCCATAGGAAGACATGGGTAGACAATGGAAGTGTGTGATACGTTTCCTCACATATAACCTCAGTGTCCACCTGTGCTGGTTACTGGACTCTTAAGTTTCTGGTTGCTGGGATGATTGGAAAATTTCCATTTCGTTGTCTAGGGATTCTCAACGTCTCTATGTCAGGTGTCAGAGGTGAATAAAAATGTGTATCAGGGATATTTTAGAAAACAATTAAAACATAGCCCAACAGTCTTAAAATTCAATTCACAGACTCACTGTTCCTCAGCGAATATGAATAATGGATTTAAGCCTCACAAAGGCAGATGGGTTTCTGTTTGTGCAGTTCTCATGCACTTTTACAGTGAGAGTATACATATTTTAAAGCAGGGGTCTTCAAACTTGGCCCTTTGATGACTTGTGAACTTCAACTCCCAGAATTCCTTAGCCAGGCATGCTCGCTGAGGAATTCTGGGAATTCTGAAGTCCGCAAGTCATGAAGGGGCCATCGTTCCCCCATGCTGGCTCAGGAATTCTGGGAGTTGAAGTCCACGAGTCATGAAGGGGCCATAGTTCCCCCATGCTGGCTCAAGAATTCTGGGAGTTGAAGTCCACGAATCATGAAGGGGCCATAATTCTCCCATGCTGGCTGAGGAATTCTGGGAATTGAAGTCCACAAGTCATGAAGGGGCCATAATTCCCCCATGCTGGCTGAGGAATTCTGGGAGTTGAAGTCCGCAAGTCATAAAAGGGCCAGGTTTGAAGACCCCTATTGTTTTGTTTGTTAAATGCATCCCTGTCCTCCTGCAATGAAAATGATGCCGAATAACAGAATGACAGAGTTGGAAGGGACCTTGGAGGTCTTCTAGTCCAACCTCCTAGGCTATGTTTTTAATGCTATGACCACACAAACACTGCTATTAAAAATGGCGTCAGGATGTCTGAGGTAAATTAGTTAAGTCATGGGGTTTGCATGGGGACATCATGGCACATATGGCACACCCTCACTGATGCTCATGGACAGACGTAATTGTAATCGATCTTAAGAAAATTCTAATAGATAACTAAAAAAAAATGTTTCAAATAGAGTTAAAAGATTAGATGATTGGATTGATTAAATGGAACATCTAAAGTTTAAACACAGGTTTAATGATAGGTAAAAAGAACAGACAAAATTACTTGGAAATAAATGTATGCTAGTTTAAGAGGGATATGTATTTTAAGTAGTATATTATTTTGTTATTCTTTTTTTCCTTTTTTTGTCTTTTTTCTTCTTTCTCTCTTCTTTTTTTATTTTTCTTTGGTGTCTTTTTCACTTACTTTTTAAGATATGAAAATAGACTTAAATACTTAAATGCAATTAACCTTGAGAAATTTTTTTAGTCAGTAAGAATATTTTGAACATCGTAGGGAAAACAAATTTAAGTAAGAATTGTAAACAGGATTCAACCAAGATGACCTGACAGAAAAGAAGCATGATATTGATAATAATAAGAACTGCATTAGCCTAATATGAGATAGTAGATATTAAGGGAAAAAGAGAAAAATCTGATGTTGTAACTTGAGATTTATACTAAAGACTTATGTATGCTATTGAACTATTGATTAACCCAGTCATCACGTTGCTTTTTAAGTACCTAATTGTAAAACGAGAAAATTAATAAAATATCATTAAAAAAAGAAAAGAAGCATGATATAGAAGTGATCATTATTGGTAGAAATTTCAGAGAAAAAATTATATTTAAATTATTACCTATTGAATTAATAAGAATTGTATTAATTCAAGGTTGGCAAAGAGAATATTAGTGGAAGAAGACGAAATCAAGCAAAGCTATTGTGCGGACTTTGAAATATAAAAACGGATTGTTAGTGATTACTTTGTAAATATAAGCCCAGGCAACACACTGTTTACCAAATATTAAGGTGTTTATGTTAAAAAATCAATAAAACGTGAGATTTATACTAAAGACTTATGTATGCTATTGAACTATTGATTAACCCAGTCATCACGTTGCTTTTTAAATACATAATTGTAAAATGAGAAAATTAATAAAATATTATAAAAGAAAGAAAGAAAGGAAAGAAGCATGATATTGAAGCGATCACTATTGGTAGAAATTTCAGAATTTTTTTTTATTTAAATTGTTACCTATTGAATTAATAAGAATGGTATTAATTCAAGGCTGGCAAAGAGAATATTAGTGGAAGAAGAGGAAATCAAGCAAAGCTATTATGTGCACTTTGGAATATAAAAACTGATAGTTTGTGACTACTTTGTAAATATAAGCCCAGGCAACACACTGTTTACCAAATATTAAGGCAATGGTTCTCAACCTTTCTAATGCCGTGACCCCATAATACAGTTTCCCATGTTGTGGTGACCCCCAAGTGGGTGTGGCCACCAATGAGAGGGACAGCTAGGGAAAAGGGAAAAAAATGGCGGACAGCGTGGTTTGGCGACCCCCATGAAATGGTCATTCGACCCCAAATGGGGTCCCGACCCACAGGTTGAGAACCACTGTATTAAGGTGTTTATGTTAAAAAAAATCAATAAAATATATTTTTTTAAACAAAAGAACGTTGAGGACCACTTGTATTCCACCCCACCTCTTAAAATGGTCTCTCTTACCCCTGGGGCTTGTTAAGGTAGCCTCGTTTGCTTTTCCTCCATCTCCGCAGTGGGTGTCATCAAAGGGAAGACACTGATCTCCTGTCCCAGCTACCACTTCCGAGTTCTTCACGATGTCCTTGATCACCGTCGTTGACTTGATCTTGAAAACGCGACGGCTGCTGGTGTCAGAGAGGTAGATGGATCCAGAGGTGGGATCGGCGGTCAGATAATATTTGTGAGCTGGGCTGTGACTGCAAAAGGGAGGGCAGAAGGATCTGTTTATCTCTGGCATACCCCAGAATGGAAAACTTACATCGCAGCAACGTGAGTGAAGCCCAAAAGCCAACGCAATAAGCAAAAATACGGTAGATTGGGAAAATCGAAGGACGGGAAGACTTGAAAAGACCTGGTTTCTGCTTATTTGGGCTTGCCGCTGCGTCAGCCCAAGTGAAACCTAAGCTGGTTAAAAGGAAGTTTGGTCTGAAGGGTGCTGGGTGCTCTTTGAGCTTGGTGGTTTTCTTGCAGACGTTTCATTACTCAACTCGGGAACATCATCAGTCCTAGAAGGGAATGGGGTTTGTGGGATGGAGGAGGAGGAGGACGATGAGTACTGTGGGGTCCTTGGTGCTCTCTGTGACATTTCATCACACAGCTAGGTAACATCATCAGTGCTAGAAGGGAATTGAGGAGGAGGGGGAGGGGGAGGACGACTGTAGGGTCCTTGGTGCTCTTTGAGACATTTCATGACCCAACTAGATGACATCATCAATGCTAGAAGGGAATGGAGGAGGAGGAAGAGGAGGAGGAGGAGGAAGACTGTGGAGTCCTTGGTGCTCTCTGAGACATTTCATCACCCAACTAGGTAACATCATCAGTGCTAGAAGGGAATGGAGGAGGAGGAGAAGGAGGAAGACTGTGGGGTCCTTGATGCTCTCTGAGACATTTCATCACCCAACTAGGTAACATCATCAGTGCTAGAAGGGTATGGAGGAGGAGGAGAAGGAGGAGGAGGAGAAGGAAGACTGTAAGGTCCTTGGTGCTCTTTGAGACATTTCATGACCCAACTAGATGACATCATCAATGCTAGAAGGGAATGGAGGAGGAGGAGGAGGAGGAAGAGGAGGAGGAAGACTGTGGGGTCCTTGGTGCTCTCTGAGACATTTCATGACCCAACTAGATAACATCATCAGTGCTAAAAAGGATCTACTCCTTCCTAGCACTGAAGATGTTACCTAGTTTAGGTCATGAAATGTCTGCAAGAAAACCACCAAGCTCAGAGAGCACCAAGGACCCCTCATTTCAACTCTGAGCTACAAATATTCTCCTTTATTGCGGTCTGGAGTGTTCCTCGCCCAGATGGCATAGCTCTTTTTTAAACAAACATCTGCCAAAGATAATATGTACGGATATAAATGATATGCACAGCATGTAACGGAAGGAAGGAAGGAAGGAAGGAAGGAAGGAAGGAAGGAAGGAAGGAAGGAAGGAAGGAAGGAAGGAAGGTGAAAGCGAGCCAACCCATCCTGATTTTTGAGGCCTAGTAACTTAGCTAACCTTGCAAACTTGGTGGGTGAACATTTCTTTCTGTTTTTTTTTTTTTTTTTAAGGCAGTGGTGGCTGGACTGAAACACGGTGGGAAGTTAGGAAAAAGTGATCGCAGGTTGGAAACGGGCCTTTATGTTTATATTTTTAATAGATTAGATTATATAAAACGGGCAGGGAGTTGCACAAAGTAATTTTCCCCCTCTATGGACAGATAACTTTCTGCACTGGAAAACCAGCTGTTGTTTTCCTTCAACAGAACTGGCTCCTTAAAAAAAAAAAAAACCAACTATAAACATTTTGATCTCTTGCAACAAACGAATAAATGTAAAAATATAAAGGATCCCGAATTAAAAAACACCAAGGTTTATGCTAGAGTGCAAGGATGGTAGTGCAAGAGATCAAAACTCATGAGAGAGGAAGGCGTGGCATAGTGAGCTAAGCCCCGCCCCTTTTGCACACGTGCGCAAAAAGGGGAAGGGCTTAGTTTGTGACTCCTCTTGCAGATTTTGAATTCAGGAGCTCCCATTTTTTATTTCCTTTGCATATTACCCGTTTGTTGCTAGATGTGCAACACAGCACGGGAGGATCTGATGTTAAAAATAAAACGCATTTTACCCGTGAATCGGTATTCCTTTATCCGTGGCAGCCCAGCAACCTTAACTCACTTTATAAAGTGCAACAACAAGAAGAAAAAAAAAAGAAGAGCATGCAACAGGACAGAGAAAAGGCACCCACAATTGGCCAACGGTCTTACCTATGTCTGAAATCTTTATTTCTGACAGAAGAGCAGGAACGCAGAAGGCAGAACAGAAGAAGGAAGGAGGAGAGAGAGAGAAAAGGTTAGAAGGTGAACTCCGAGCCTTGCGGCTTAGGCTGAAAAGTTGGCAGCGACAACCACACTCTCTACAAGGCAGCGATCAATAAAAGAGTTAGCAAACTGGAGGTCGATCCTTCTCAAAGAGCAGGCAGAACACCAGAAGAGCAGAGTTGGAAGGGACCTTGGAGGTCATCTAGTCCAACCCCCTGCTCAGGCAGGAAAACGTGTACCATTCCAGACAAAGGTGGCGCAGCAGTTAGAGTGCAGTACTGCAGGCCACTTTAGCTGACTGTGTTCAGCAGGTCAGCGGTTCAAATCTCACCGGCTCAAGGTTGACTCAGCCTTCCATCCTTCCGGGGTAGGTAAAATGAGGACCCAGATTGTTGGGTGCAATGTAAATATATATATATATATACATTGCTTACTGGTGTACACCGCTTAGAGAGTGCTTGCACTGAAAGCGGTATATAAGTCTCATAAAATAAAATAAATAAATAAAATAAATGGCTGCGCAATCTCTTCTTAAATACTCCCAGTGTTGGAGCACCCACAATGTCTGGAGGCAAGCAGTTCCACTGGTTAACTGTTCTAAGGAAATGTCAGGCATCCTGTCGGAGACCTGCCTCATAACGCTGATACCTTCCATGGGGGGGGGGGAAATGCCATTTTGTCTGATACTGGCTGGATGAAATATAACGTAGCTAGATTGTTGTTATATAAATCCATTGTTGTGTTATGTTGTGTTATGTTTAGAGAGCATGGCCAGTTGCCAAGCGTCTGAATTTTGATCACATGACCCTTGGGGATGCTGCAATGGCCGTCGGTGTGAAAAACGTTCGTAAGTCACCTTTTTTCAGTACTGCTGTTCCCTCAAACAATCACTAAATGAATGGTTGTTAAGTTGAGGACTACCTGTATTTACAATGCTTTGCTAGCTCACGTGAGTTACATGGGGTTGCTAAATTCACATTAAAGTCCAAGACAGGGGTAGGCAACCTTGGCTCTTTTATGACTCGTGGACTTCAACTCCCAGAATTCCTGAGCCAGCGGGGGGGAACTATGGCCCCTTCATGACTTGCGGACTTCAACTCCCAGAATTCCTGAGGCAGCATGGGGGAACTATGGCCCCCTTCATGACTTGTGACTTCAACTCTTAGAATTCATGAGCCAGCATGGGGCAATCATGGCTCCTTCATGACTTGCGGACTTCAACTCCCAGAATTCCTGAGCCAGTGTGGCTCAGCTTGGAAACCTCTCCCTTTCCCCTCAGCATGACTGGTTCAGGAATTCTGAGAGTTGAAGTCCACAAGTCATAAAAGACCCAAGGTTGCCTACCCCTGGTCCAAGAGATAGCAAGAGGCTATCCTGTATGTTTATTGCAAAATTGCAATTTTTTTTTTTTTAAGTTACCCCACTAGTCAGTGTATGTCTCTATGTTTCATGGAAGAGGCCATTTGGCAGCTGTATCCTTGTGGGCAAAAATGGTTCTTTTTAAGTTTTGTTGCACAAAAGTCCCCAGGTTGCCCCAGGAGAGAGAGTGGGGGGGGGGGGGAGAGAGGAAGGGAGAAAGACTGCCAAGCCAATGTTTAGGCTGAGCTCGGTGGCCCTGAACGAGCTTCACAAAACTTGCCTTGTTGCAATCTTTGCGAAACCCCCCCCCTTTAACTCTGTGGATTTGGGAATTCTGGGCATTTGTTTCTCCATCTTTGCTGAAGTAACCACACTTAATGGCCTTCCTCTTGCAGGGACCACATGTGGAGAAGGCCTGGAGGAAAACCACGTTAGCTCCCAAATCTAAAAAATCCCTCTGGATGGCGCTCAGCCAAAGTCAACCAGATTCCTGGTCCTTTTTAAGTTTCTTCAACTTGGGTGCTCAGCAGAAAAAAGAGCACAAGTACAGTTGAATCCTCAACTTACGACCACGAATGAGCTGAAGCCTTCTGCTGCTCGGCGAGATACTTGTTAAAGGAGTTTTTGTCCCATTTTATGACCTTTCTTGCCACAGAGGTTCAGCGTATCGCTGCCGTTGTTCAATGGGAAAGCAAATCTGGCTTTCCCATTGAAGCAAAGACCTCGGGACATTGCAACCGTCATAAATATGAGTCAGTTGCCAAGCGTCTGAGTTTTGATCACGTGACTGTGGGGATGCTGCAGTGGTTGAGAAGTGTGAAAAAATGGTTGTGACTTTTTTTCCAGTGCCGTTGAAACTTTGAATGGTTTTTGAACTGTCCAGGTCTACCTGCATTGTAGAAGTGGCTTTTACAAAGGGTTGTTCTTTCCAGAACCTAAAATGGGAATCTTAGATACTAAGACTATTAATTCTTCTATTTTCCTATCCTTGGTTGGCAGGGATCGACATCAACTATCCTTCATCAACGTGGTTAGAAGGTTTTGTTAGATCAGGGGTAGGCAACCTTGGCTCTTTTATGACTCGTGGACTTCAACTCCCAGAATTCCTGAGCCAGCCATGCTGAGGAGAAAGGGAGAGGTTTCCATGCTGAGCCATGCTGGCTGAGGAATTCTGGGAGTTGAAGTCCACGAGTCATGAAGGGGCCATAGTTCCTCCATGCTGGCTCAGGAATTCTGGGAATTGAAGTCCACCAGTCATGAAGGGGCCATAGTTCCCCCATGCTGGCTGAGGAATTCTGGGAGTTGAAGTCCCTGAGTCATGAAGGGGCCATAGTTCCCCCATGTTGGCTGAGGAATTCTGGGAGTTGAAGTCCACGAGTCATGAAGGGGCCATAGTTCCCCCATGCTGGCTCAGGAATTCTGGGAGTTGAAGTCCACGAGTCATAAAAGAGCCAAGGTTGCCTACCCCTAGGCTAGGTGAAAGTCTTCTTCTGCTAAGACTTTGGCTTCTAGCAGGCCCACTCACAATGAAGTTCTGAATTACACTTACTGCTGCTGTCATAAATATGAGTCGGTTACCAAGCACCCGAATTTTGATCAAGCCCCGTGGGAATGCTTCAATGGTTGTAAGTACGAAAAATGGTCAAAAAAGTGAGCAAAGTTTGGGCGCTTGGCAACCGAGTCAATATTTATGACGGTTGCAGCGTCCCGGATTCGCGTGATCCCCTTTTGCCACCCTCTGTCAAACCAAGTCAATGGGGGAAGCCTGATTCACTTAACAGCTGCGTTACTGACATATCAACTGCACTGATTCACTTAACAACGGTATCAAGAAAGGTCAAAAATGGGGCAAAAGTCACTCAACAGCTGTCTCGCTTAGCAACAGAAGCTTTGGGCTCAATTGTGGTTGTACGTCAAGGACTATCTGTATTCTGGACAAATTGTGGTCTAGTCTCGTCTTGAAAATGGAGCACCCTCAACTTCTGGAAGCAACTCGTTCCACTGGTTAATTGTTCTAACTGTGAGGAAGTTTCTCCTTAGTTCTAGGTTGCTTCTCTCCTGGATTACTTTCCATCCATTGCTTCTTGTCCTGCCTTCAGGCGCTTTGGAGAACAGCTTGACTCCCTCTTCTTTGGGGCAGCCCCTCAGATACTGGAAGGCTGCTATCCTGTCCCCCCTTGTCCTTCTTTTCTCTAGGTTAGCCAAACCCAAATCCTGCAACCGTTCTTCATACGTTTTTGTCTCCAGGCCTTTAATCATCTTAGTTGCTCTTCTTTGCATTTTTTTTTTTAACCAAAGTCTCAACATCTTTTTTATAATCTGGTGACCTAGCACCACCCTAGTCCAGGGGTAGGCAACCTTGGCTCTTTTATGACTCGTGGACTTCAACTCCCAGAATTCCTGAGCCAACCATGCTGAGGGGAAAGGGAGAATTTTCAAGCTGAGCCATGCTGGCTAGGAATTCTGGGAATTGAAGTCCATAGGTCATGAAGGGGCCCTAGTTCCCCCATGCTGGCTGAGGAATTCTGGGAGTTGAAGTCCACGAGTCATGAAGGGGCCCTAGTTCCCCCATGCTGGCTGAGGAATTCTGGGAGTTGAAGTCCACGAGTCATGAAGGGGCCCTAGTTCCCCCATACTGGCTGAGGAATTCTGGGAGTTGAAGTCCACCAGTCATGAAGGGGTCAAGGTTGCCTAGCCCTGCCCTAGTCCTTCTTTTCATCAAAATGTTTCATTACATGTCGCCGCCGAAACATTTTGTTCTTGCTTTCCTCCTTCGAGAACATCACCTTGAGGGACACCAAAGCAACAAGACACTCACGATACCTTAACTCCAAAATATTGGTGACATTTCCCGAAGGGAAGATTCTCCGGATGTAGTTGAAGTCGCCAACATACAGGCTGCCGTCGGAGCCGCAGGTGAGGGCAACGGGGGCCAGGAGCTTGTTGCCATCCGCCAGGCCGTTGCAACTCGGGCAGGAGATGCTTCTTCGGCGTCCATTCCCCATGATGCTTCCTATGACTGGGGGCTGCTGGGAGATGAACTGGTTCCCCCCGTTTCCTTTGTGCAGGATACCTGGAGGGCAAACACAAAGGGGATGGGCAGACTTTGCACCGAGAGGCAGCTCCACTGGGATTTGAGCACAACGAGCAAAATTCAGGCACTTAGCAATTGGCCTGCGCAGCTATCCTGTTTTCCCCAAAATAAGACCTAACTGGAAAATAAGGCCTAGCATGGTTTTTCAGGATGCTCGTAATATAAGCCCTATCCCCAAAATAAGCCCCAGTTCAGATCGTCAGCCAGATGACACATTTAGTACCGTATTTCCCCGAATATAAGACCTAACTGGAAAATAAGCCCTAGCATGATTTTTTTCAGGATGCTCGTAATATAAGCCCCACCCCCAAAAATAAGCCCCAGTTAAGATCGTCAACCGGATGGACGCATTTAGTACTGTATTCCCCCCCCCCAAATAATTGCAAAATAATCCCCAACGTGTCTTTTGGAGCAAAAATTAATATAAGACCCGATTTTATTTTGGGGGAAATATGGGTAGCCCTCAATTTACAGCAGTTTGTTCAGTGGCCAAAGTTACAACGGCACTGGAAAAGCGACTTATGACCGTTTTTCACACTGTTACAGCATCCCCGTGGGTTATGCGATCAAAATTCACACCCTTGACAATGGAGTCACATTGGTGACAACTGCAGTGTCAGTAAAGTCACCAGAATCTTTTGCAACCTTTTCACAAGCAAAATCCACGGGGAAGCCAGATTCACTTAACAATTTTGTGACTCACTTAACAACGGCAGTGGTTTGACATAACAACGGTGGCCAGATACATCATCAAATGGGGCAAAACTCACTTAACAACTGTCTCGCTTGGCAATGAAATTGTGTTCATAAGATGAGGACTACCTGTATATACTCTCGGTCATTCTTGTAATGGGACATCTCCTTTGTTTTTCATCTAGAGGTCCCCAATCCCCGGGCTGTGGCCTGTTCAAAACCAGGCCGGCGGGGGGGGGGGGGAGATGGTCAACCGTGCGCGTATGAAACTCTACTCGTGCGAAGCTCTACTTGCATGAACAGGGCGCTTATCCTCATGCAAGTGGAGCTGCGTGCACGAGTGCAAGCATTCTCCACTTGTGCGCGAAGATGCATTCATCTGAATTTCATGCACACCACTTGCACAATGTGCCGGGCTAGGCTGGGCTATTGACCAGGAATCAGGAAAAAGCATAGATTGTGAATACGTGCAGATGGCCCCACTGTCTCTGGGTACTTGCAGAGTCGTGGAAGGTCACCTAATGTCCCAAGACACCCGAGAACACTCAGTGACCTTATGACAGGTATGGGGAACCTTGGCTCTTTTATGACTTGTGGACTTCAACTCCCAGAATTCCTGAGCCCGCCATGCTGAGGGGAAAGGGGGAGGTTTCCAAGGTGAGCCATGCTGGCTCAGGAATTCTGGGAGTTGAAGTCTACAAGTCATAAATTCTGTTTCCTCTTATCTATAGTGTGCCAGGCTTTCTAGGTGAATTCTTTATGAATGCCAGCTTTGCTGGGTGGATTGCTTATGTAATCAAAAAGTATAAATACAAGGATTTTTATTTATTTTTTGTCATTCGGGGCTTCCTCTCTATTAGAGGGGCCTGTCTTTGTTCAGCTGAATAAAAATGTCAAGCTTAAAGGCAACTTCTGCGTTTCTTGCATTTTTTTTTTTAACCAAGCCACACCTCGGATCCTGCACAACGAGGCCGCCAAGCTGGGAAAGCTGGGGATTGCTATATTGCTGTGGTTAAGTGACCAACCTTCACAACTTACAATCACAAAAGCAGGCTCTGTTACACTCATGGCTCAAGGACTAGCCAAGGACTAGCAATTAACTACAGTTTTGATCCCAAAAGCAGACGGGTGATTAAGAAATATGAAGCATGTAGAAACAAACAAACAAACAAACAAACGTACCACTTTGGATGTTAAGCGCATGGTGTTTATCCAGAGACCACCCTCCCAGTTTGGAAGCGTCTATTTCGTAACCTTGAAGCACAGCCGTCCGTTTCTCCCACAGGATCAAATCAGGGCACGATTCATATTCGTAGCCCACTGAGACTGGGAAGTGAGAAAGAGAGAACGGGAAAGAAAAAGAAAAAAAAGAGAGAAAAGAAAGCAGTCCATATTAACAGCTTTAAAGCAGTATATCTTTTAAAAAGACAGTCCAGAACACAGCCCGGATTAGCTGTGAAAAGGGTCCCAAGGAAACAAAAGAAAATAAAACAAATAAACACAAGAAAATAAAACCGATGCGACTAGATCAGGGGTGGGCAACCTTGGCTCTTTTATGACTCGTGGACTTCAACTCGCAGAATTGCTGAGTCAGCATGGCCGGTTCAGGAATTCTGGGTACTGAAGTCCACAAGTCATAAAAGAGCCAAGGTTGCCTAACCCCGAACTAGATCGAACCCTTTATATGCCCCATCTCAAGAAAAGTATACTATAGGGCAGGGGTAGGCAATCTTGGCTCTTTTATGACTCGTGGATGTCAGGACTTCAGGACTCCCAGGAATTCTGGGAGTTGAAGTCCCCGAGTCATGAGGGGGCCATAGTTCCCCCATGCTGGCTCAGGAATTCTGGGAGTTGAAGTCCGCAAGTCATGAAGGGGCCGTCGTTCCCCCATGCTGGCTCAGGAATTCTGGGAGTTGAAGTCCACGAGTCATAAAAGAGCCAAGGTTGACTACTCCTGCTATAGGGCTATAATATCTGGGCATCAAAAATTCTGACAACCATTAGGTGGTAGCAAAGAGTCAAACTTTTCTGCAGGTCTTTGCTACCACCTAGTGCAGTGGTTCTCAACCTTTTTAATGCCGCGATCCCCAACCGGTCGTAAGTCGAGGACTACTCAACCGGTCGTAAGTCGAGGACTACTCAACTGGTGCAGCACCGTTTGCAGAATGGGACTTTTGGCGGGCTCAGCAGGGCAGAGACAGCCTGGACAATTCCTATTGGCTTTTGAAAGCCAATAGAATTAGACTCTATTCAAGAGAGTCATTCTATTGGCTTTCAAAAGCCAATAGAATAAAAGGGAGTAGCACAGCTAAGGAAAAGGGGGAAAAAATGGCGGACTGCGTTGTTTGGCGACCCCCGTGAAATGGTCGTTCGACCCCAAATGGGGTCCCGACTCACAGGTTGAGAACCACTGCCCTAAATCATTTCAGACAAATGGCTGTCCAGTCTCTTCTTAAAAGCCTCCAGTGATGGAGCACCCACAACTTCTGGAGGCAGGTTGTTCCACTGGTTAATTGTTCTAACTGTCAGGAAATTTCTCCTTAGTGCTAGGTTGCTTCTCTCCTTGATTAGTTTCCATCCATTGCTTCTTGTCTGGTGCTTTGGAGAATAGCTTGACTCCCTCTTCTTTGGGGCAGCCCCTGAGATACTGGAAGACTGCTATCATGTCCCCCCTCGTCCTTCTCTTTATTAAACTAGACCTACCCAATTCCAGCAGCCTTTCCTTATATGCTTTAGCTTCCAGTCTCCTAATCATCTTTGTTGCTCTTCTCTGCACTCTTCCTAGAGTCTCAACATCCTTTTTGCAAAACTGGATGCTGTATTCCAAGTGTGCCCTTACCAAGGCCTTGTAAAGCGGTACTAACACTTCACGTGATCATGATTCTATTCTTTTGTTAATGCAGCCTAGCACTGTGGCGACTTTCTCGGCAGCTGCCAAAGATATAAAGGCAGAGACTGAAACGCCATCTTACCAAAGACTTCGGATAACCCAAACACCTTCTGATTGTAGACATCCGTCTTGTCCCAGATGAAGTAATAAGAGAGATCAGCAGCTGCAGCAAACCACTTTCGGAAGAGGCGTCCTTCCACCGCCACCATGAGGTGGACTTTCATAAGGTTGAACGGTATGGTGGGATGGGTCAAGCTGATCCTCAGGACCGATTTGTAGCCGGACGTACGACTGCTCAGGTAGCTTAGCTTGATTTTGGTCCCTGAAATTTTAATCTCTTCTTGTAAGGCCTGGAAATTAAAAAGAAAAAAGAAAAAATCACAGCTGAAGAAGTAACGACCAAATGAACCTTGGCTGCCTTCCATGGGCAAACCAAGACCTGAATACACCTACACCAAGACCTGCATATATATATATATATATTAAGAGCCGAGGTGGCGCAGCAGTGAGAGTGCAGCACTGCAGGTCACTTTAGCTGGCTGTGTTCAGCAGGTCAGCAGTTCAAATCTCACCGGCTCAAGGTTGACTCAGCCTTCCATCCTTCCGGGGTAGGTAAAATGAGGACCCAGATTGTTGGGGCAATGTAAATATATATATATATATACATTGCTTACTGGTGTACACCGCTTAGAGAGTGCTTGCACTTAAAGCGGTATATAAGTCTCCTAAATAAATAAATAAATAAATAAATAAATAAATAAATAAATAAAGCAGGCATTTTTGTCCTGGATTATTTCGGGTTTCGGTCTTGTTTGATCTGATGGGAATGACACGGCTGTCGGCAAATTGTGGGGCGCCTGGTGCTGGTTTTCTTGCAGATGTTTATTTACCCAATCTTCCCTGTCGGTCAAGGAGCTAACAAAAAGAAAACAACAACCTTCCCACCAATGCTGACAGGAGAAGCTACTGTATATAAACAGGGAGAAAACCTCACTCTTTTGTAGCATCGGTGATGTTGTCTAGTTGGGTAATGAAAGGTCTGCAAGCAAACCACCCAGCTCAGAGAGCACCAAGGACCCCACAGTCATTCCTCCTCCTCCTCCTCCTCCTCCTCCTCCTCCTCCTCCTCTCTGCAAACCCCACCCCTTTCTAGCATTGATAATGTTACCTAGCTGGTTAATGAAACATCTGCAAGAAAACCACCCAGCTCAGAGAGCACTAAGGACCCCAAAGTCATTCCTCTCCTCCTCCTCCTCCTCCTCCTCCTCCTCCTCTTCTCCAGAAACCCCACTCCCTTCTAGCACTGATGAGGTTACCTAGTTGGGTCATGAAATGTCTGCAAGAAAACAACCAAGCTCAGAGAGCAGCAAGGACCCCACAGTCCTCCTCCTCCCCCTCCTCACAAACCCCACTCCCTTCTACCCCTGATGATGCTCCCTAGTTGAATAATGAAGCACCCTCAACAAACCAAGTTCAGACAGCACCAAGGACAACACAGTCCTCCTCCTCCTCTCCACAACCCCCTTCTCTTCTGTCACTGATGATGTTACCTAGTTGGGTCATGAAAGGTCTGCAAGAAAACCACCCAGCTCAGAGAGCACCAAGCACCCCTCATTTCAACCCTGAGCTACAAATATTCTCTTCTATCATCGCCAGCAAATTTCTTCGCTGTCATCAGGTTATGAGACATCTCAAGATGGCTTCTTTTTGGCCATTATTTTGTTTACTTTGTAGGTTTGTGTTGATCTCAGCCAGCCCTTCATGGTTTTGAAAGACCAGCTTCTCTAGTGGTCTCTGCCTTCCTGATAAGACGGTGAAAAACCACAATCCCGCAAACTCTCTTGCCCTTGTGAGTGTTTGGCCGTGAACCGACTGGCTTTCGAAAGCGGAATTTTCATTCTGGGATCGTGTGGATCCCACAGGTCGTCCTCAATCTACCACCACAACTGAACCCCACATTTATGTGGCGAGAACTTTGCAAAGGGAGTTTCGCTCCAGTTTACGACCTTACTTGCCACCACTGGTGAGTCACTGCAGTTGTTAAACGAGCAACCCGGTTGTTAAGTGAATCCGGTTGCTTGTCGGAAGGTCGCAAAAGGGGATCACATGACCCCCCCGGGACTCTGCAACCGTCATAAATGAGAGCCAGCAGTCAAGCCTCCGAATGTAAATCACGTGACCCTGGGGACGCTGCAATTCCCTACGTCCGGTTCCCTACGTCCGGTTAGATCCCACAGGCTGGGCCTCCTTCAGGCCCCGTCGGCCAAGCAGTGCCATTTGGCGGGGCCGCGGAGGAGGGCCTTCTCTGTGATGGCGCCCACGCTTTGGAATCAGCTCCCCCCGGAGATTAGGACCGCTGCCACCCTGTTGGTCTTCCGTAAGCTATTTAAGACCTGGCTTTTCCGGCAGGCCTGGGGTTTATAAAACCTTACCCCTGGATGACTGTCTTTGTACTGTTGTTTTGTTATGTTTTATGTGTTTTTTTATTGTTAGCCGCCCAGAGTCCTTCGGGAGTGGGGCGGCTTATAAATTTTAAAAATAAAATAAATAAATGGTCCTAAGTGTGAAAAACGGTCCTTTTTTCAGTGCTGTTGTAACTTCCGAGTGGTCACTAAATGAACCGTTGTAAGCGGAGGACTCGCCTGTCTTTCGAGCGGAGGAGAGAAACGACGGATGCTGGTCCCTGAATTTGCCAAGGATGGCCCACATCTGGAATGCTCTTTGCAGTCCCGCCGTTCTTACCTGGATCTCTGGCACGATGGGGCCTCGCTCGGAACAGGAGCTGGCGAAGGCGGTCAGCGGAGTGGGGGAAACCACCGGGTTTGGCCGGGCAAAGTTGCTCAAGTCACAACTGGGGATGTCGTTTTCTTCGTGTCGCATGACGATGGTCTCCATGACGAAGAAGTGATTCCAGGGCAGCCAGAGCGTGTGATCCTGCGTGATGAAGGGCGCCCGTTCGAAACGCAGAACGACGGCTATCCCGCCATTCGTGACCAGGTCGAAACTGCGGACAGAAATCCAAGATGGATTTGTTTTGTTTTTTTTTTAAACGAGGGAAGCAACACAAATGTGGATTCGCTACCAACGCTGGCAGAAGGTGAGCGTGTGGCAACATTTCCCATTTAAAAAATAAAAATAAAAAACGGAGTGACTTCTATTTTGGCCAATAGACTGGGTGGATTTGAACTCAAGCACAAATGCAGCATGAAAACCCTATGAAAAGCCTTTTCTGTTTTCTTTTACAAAGCAGTAAAAAGGAATGATGTTTTGTAAAGAAAATATCTTCTGAGACCGAAAGCTATAAACCAGTGTTTTTCCAACCTTGGCCACTTTAAGGTGTGTAGACGTCAACTCCCAGAATTCCCTAGCCAGCATACTGGAGGCTGGAATTCACCCATGCAGGCTGGGGAATTCTGGGAACTAAAGTCCACCCATGCAGGCTGGGGAATTCTGGGAATTGAATCCACCCAAACTAGCTGGGGAATTCTGGGAGTTGACGTCCACCCATGCTGGCTGGGGCCTTCTGGGAAATGAAATCCATGCATGCAGGCTGGGGAATTCTGGGAGCTGAGATCCATCCATTCTGGCTGGGGAATTCTGGGAGTTGACGTCCACCCATGCTGGCTGGGGCCTTCTGGGAAATGAAATCCATGCATGCAGGCTGGGGAATTCTGGGAGCTGAGATCCAACCATTCTGGCTGGGGAATTGTGGGAGTTGAACACCCATGAAGGCTGGGGAATTCTGGGAACTGAAGTCCACCCATGCGGGCTGGGGACTTCTGGGAGTTGAAACGTATCCACTTTGGCTGGGAAATTCTTGGGAGCTGAAGTCCATCCACGCTGGTTGGGGCCTTCTGGGAAATGAAATCCATGCATGCAGGCTGGGGAATTCTGGGAGCTGAGATCCAACCATTCTGGCTGGGGAATTCTGGGAGTTGAAGTCCACCCATGCAGGCTGGGGCATTCTGGGAGTTGAAGTGTATCGACTTTGGCTGGGGAATTCTGGGAGCCGAAGTCCACACACCTTAAAAGTTGCTGAGGTTGAGAAATACTGCCCTAAACAGTTCACAATTAAAGCAGCAGTGGAAACGGCGGTGTGTTTGTGTGTATGTAGGAAACAGACATAGGTGTCCTTATTAGCGTGAAGAGAGAAATCGATAAAGGCACTTATTTCAGCTGGCAACTGCTAGGCAACATCCAGAGGCTGCATCTAAGAAGGCCTAACGGTGAGAGGTACGTCTAATTTACGGTCCGGCAGACAGGCCATCCCTAACGGTGTGCTTAATTTAGCTCTGTCCAGGAAATAAAAACAAAGCAAGTGAGTGAAAGAGCTATTGATTCTGCAATTCAAGTAGGAACAGGGTGGCTGGTTTTAATAGCACGGCCAGCAAACGGAGAAAGCACTGAAGCCTCAAGGAAGACATTTTTAACGGTTAGTTAACATTTGGCAAAGTGGCAAGCAATTTCAGAGGCCAGGATGGAGAACTGAACGGAGCGGCGGTGGGAGCTGCAGAAGCAGGTAGGTCGTCCTCGACTTACGACCACAACTGAACCCGAAAATTTATGCCGCTAAGCAAGACAATCGTTAAGCGACCTTTGCCCCATTTTACGACCTTTCTCTCCACCGTTGTTAAGCGACTCACTGCAGCTGTTAAGTGAGGAACCTGATGGTTAGGTGAATCTGGCTTCCACGTTGACTTTGCTGATCGGCAGCTCGTAAAAGGGGACCACGTGACCCCTTCCGGAACACTGCGACCGTCGTTAAGTATGAACCGGTGGCTAAGTGTCTGAATTTTGATCACTTGCAACTGACCCGGCTGACTGTCATCAAACAGATATCAATGGGGGAAGCCAGATTCGCTTAACCACCATGTGATTCACTTAACGACGGGAGTGAAAAAGGTCATAAAATTGGGCATGACTTAACTTAACAACCACCTCACTTAGTAACGTAAATTCCAGTCCCGATTGTGGTCGCTCACTTGAGGACTATCTGTAATATTTGCAAAGTTCTCCTCCGAAACGAATCTCGGTGCCTGAATCAAAGATAAGCTGAGATATGGTTCCTAGGATAGAGCTGTTAGTCATTATCAACAACCACTTGACTCCGAGACATGAAGCACAGGCAAAGAGCTTCTTCAGAAGTGCAAAAGGCAAGAAGTAAAGGAACGTTACTTCAGCTTAGAGACAGCATAAAAAGGAAGTACACCGTTAAGAGTGGGCGGTCAGCTGTTTCATACCACTTCAGTCTAATTGACAATAAAATTTCTATATAAGCTGTTCTTATCTAGCATGGTCCAAGAGACCAGGTCAATTCAAAGCTTCACAGACAAGTTAAGACACCTTTCAGGTTGGGAAACTAAGATTTTATTAGGGAATTCTGGTCTGGGAACTTGATATTATCAAGTTTAGTCAATTAATTCTCATCAGAGACTAGAAAGATAATTAAAAAGAGTCCTTTTCATATATTAAAAGGATCATTTCTACTGCCTGACAAAATGGATGTTTCTGTTGGGACCACAATCCCCTTGACAAAGGATGGAATGTTTTCCTGTCATTTGATCAGACTCCTTCAAGGTCCAGTTGTTTAAACACACCCACCCACAAACACAAAGACTGGTCTTTGCTGCTGCTGTATGCAGATGTTTCCAAAGTGTTGATGCAAAGCACATCGGTAACGAACAAAAAAAATTCCTTTTCTCTTGAGATCTGGAGAATAACAGAATAACAAGGGTTGGAAGAGATCTTGAAGGTCTTCTAGTCCAACCGCTTGCTCAGAAAGAGAACCTTATACCATTTCAAACAAATGGCTGTCCAGACTCTTCTTAAAAATCTCCAGTGATGGAGCAGCCACAGCTTCTGGAGATAAACTGTTCCACTGATTAATTGTTCTAACTGTCAGGACATTTCTCCTTAATTCTAGGTTTGGTTCTCTCCTTGATTAGTTTCCATCCATTGCTTCTTGTCCTTCC